CACACAACCACTCTCTATTTCACTTTCAGTACGGTATTTAATAAATTACATGATATTGAACACTTTACTACAATATAGTCTTTGTGTTAGATGGTTTTGCCCAGCTGTATGTTAATGTAAGGGTCCTGAGCACGTTTAAGGTAGGCTAGGCTACGCTCTAATGTTCAGTAGGTTAGGTGTATTAAATGCATTTTTTACTTAAAATATTTTCAACTTACCATGGGTTTGTTGGGATATAACCACATTGCAAATAGAGAAGCATTTGTACCAGTCTGCTCCCCAAAATAACTACTTCCTTACCCCTGGACCTAATGCCTTCATGTAGGCCCTCTGATAAGCATAAAAGCCCTATACTTTTCATTCTATTTTGTTTACAGAATTATTTCAGGGGTATAGTACATAGTAGCTACTCAATAAGTAAGTAAATTACCAGGAAAGAACCATTTTTGTAACAATCCCACTTTAGGGAAAAAAAAAATTAGGAAAAGCCCTAAACAATCATTATTGTTTGCAAATAGCACCGTGGATCCAGCACTGTACCTTCAGTTCCTGCTTGGGCTCCACATTCTTTATGGTTGTATAATACACATGGTGGCCATACTGGTAAGCCACCAGGTTCTGCTCCAGGTGATTCTGGGCTGGACGTACAAACATCATCCAGTTACAAAGGGTCTCATCAGACAACTCAAACCATAGGTCTTCATGCAAATCCCTGTCTTTTCTGTCCCCTTTATCAAGAGAAACCTGTAACCAAAGAAAAAGTAAAAAGCCACACCACAAAAACAAACAAAACCATCAACATGATATGCATTAATGTCATAATATACAAAATATTACTCCTAAATCAACCATACATCCTGATTCTTCCCTTTGCATCTAGAAAGATACTGAAATTGTGACTTGCCCAGTGTAAAAGAGAAAAGATACTTTCTGAAGCCTCACCTGTGGGAGAATTACCTGGTAAAATCTAAATGTTAGCAATCTAATTGCATGGCTTTACTAGTATTTCACAAAACATGACCCCAAAAGTGCTATAAATAAGCCAGAAAGTAAAACACTCTTCAGTTCATTACAACTTGCTTCCTTTTGGGATTCAACTGCATTGCTTTATAATATGCAGCCCAGAGATAGGTTTTTCTCTTTAGAAAGTAATATTCTTGCTTGGAGATCTTCAGCATTCACCAAAGAAAACAGCTCCACGACAGCAGCTGACTTGTCAAAAAACACATCCCAAATATTTACCCCTCCAATCCCCTTTCTTAATCCTGAGCCACTCAGTTCTTGGAGTAGCTATGCAAGAAGTGGCTGGCAGAGCGGGCTAGATGGAAGCAAAAGCATCAGATGTAAAAAACAGAGACCAGTATAAATACTTCACTGTTTGCTGAAGAATATTCTTTAATGGAAGGTTTGACAGCACAGACTTGTTACAAAATTGAAAAGTGGTTTTCCTGCGAACATTACCAGCACGTAGCAGATTACATAGATCTACATAATTTTCTTTGTATTCCAAAGTCATTTTTCAAAAAAGAAAGAAAAAGGCTGTTAAAGCCCCTGTTATGGGCTGAATTGTGTCTCTCCCTCAAATTCATGTTGAAGGCCTAACCCCAGTACCTCAGAATGTGACTGCATTTGGAGACAGGGCTTTTAAAAGGGTAACTAAGTTAAAATGAGGTCATTAGAGTGAGCCCTTATCCAATTATGACTGGTCCTTCAAAGAAGAGGAGATTAGGACGTGGACATGAACAAGCACAGAGGAAAGACACTCATGAGGACGCATCGAAACAGCGGCCATCTGCAAGCCAAGGAAAGAGACTGCAGAAGAAACCAACCCTGTCAACACCTTCCCCTCAGACTTCCAGCCTCCAGAACCATGAAAAAAATACATTTCTGGTGTTTAAGCCTCCCAGCCCGTGGTACTTTATTATGGTAGCCCTAACGAACTATTACAGTCCCCAAGAACTACAGCTCTCAGAATTATTCATAAACTAAAATTGCAGTCTCCATTTTATTGGTGAGAGAGAAAAAGCTTCTACTTTAAACAAATTAAGCACAGAAAGAAAAACACTAGCAAGCAACAGCTATGAAATTGAAATAAGAGACTCGGCAGAAAATTGAGAGCTCCCGAAAACTGTTAAAGGAACAAGGGTGAACTATGACAAAGCATAAGTTACCTTCAGATGAATGTAACAGTCTTTCAGCTCGGACCCCCTCACGAGGGGTCCCTCCACAGGGCCGAACTGCGTGCGCTTGGGAATACGCCTTTTGGAGAACACTCCTCCAAGGAACCTGTCTATGTAGAGGACCAGAGGGAGACTTGCTCTCGCTCGAGTGAGCACAGGCCGGTTGGGGATCGGATGCAAGGGGCCATGCTTTGGGCACACTGAAGAATGTGCATTATTACACTCCTCACACCCTACAAAAGAAAGAAAGTCTTGAAGCAAAGTCAAATTCCTCAATATGACTTGATCTCAAGTAAAAAATTGGAACTGGAAAAATCCCCAAATCTAAGTTTTCAAGCCAAAATTCAATTAACTCCCGCAATGGTACTACCCATTCAATTGTAATACATTAGCTTTCACAGACCAATAAAAATCCTGTAATTTTCCTCTAAAACCAGGAAGAATTTGCTTACGCCTGCCAAAAATAATATGCAGGCTATGATTATTTCAAATCTGCTGGACAGTAATTCAAATAGTAGCCACTAAATTTACAAATCAATTACAATATATCTGAGACGAAAAAAGAAGAGCTTATTAGGCCAAATGCTGCAAAATCTGATGAGAAAAAAAAAACAGGTGACTTTTACAGTATGTAAATCATATCTCAGTAAAGCTGTTAGGGGAAAAAGAAACCTCGACATACTGTTGAATCAATTTCCTCAAAGGGAGTTTCAGAAGCCTCATTATCTCAACACATCTAACTCAAACAGAAAAACTGCTGTACGGTTTGCGAGTTCAGTGGAAACCACTGTCTGATGATAATGCTAAAATGAGTGAATTTAGAATAATATACTTCACTCACTTGGATAACACCATCAGCCCACCCCTGACAGGACATGTATTTTCAGCTCATTCCGAGAGTACTTCGTTCACACCAATCCAGCCACACTTACCCCTTTGCCAAGAGCACCCAGCTATGTGTTAACTGCCAGAACTGAACACACGGAGCCACACAACAGAGGACCGTGACTGGGCCACACAGAGATCACACTCACGACCCTTAACAAATTTAAGTAACTAACCACGGTTTACCCTACTTTGGCTGTGTGGTGGGTGAGCTGGTTTAGGAAATAGTTATTTTCAATTTCTTCAACTCTCAAATAATAGAGAGCTACTTTGTATTAGTATTTATAAGATAAAGTGACTCTCTGTGCATTTGGCTTAGGAGATGCCTTGAAAACTTAGGAATTCAAGGAAAAACAAAGCAAGGAAGTTCTCTGTTGGGTCGGGTTTAGATGTCGACCTGAACGCTGGGCGGAAGCAGACAGGGTTCACCACCAGCACCCAGGAGGCCCAGGAGAAACAGGGCGAGACCACAGAGCTCTGAATAGCCTCAATAATGCAAATAAATGAGGTGAGAACTGTGCTGTGCGAGCCTGAACGTCAAGGGAAAGAAACAACGGTTCGGTAGGTGGAGGCGAAGGCCCCGGCAGGCGGCGGAGAGGCAGTCGGGTGCGGACCGGACCACCTGAGCTGGAATCTGACTCTCCACTTTCTAGCGCGGCCTTGGGAAAGCCGCTGCCCCCTAAGACTGTGGCGAGCACTCACACCTGGGATGCAACACGCACTTTTAAGAGATGACTATGAAAGAGGCCAAGCAGCAAAACGTGCTTGTTGAAGCCGAAATGGCGGAACAGTCCAGGACTGGGCAGGCCTGCCATGGTGGCTGGGTAGCTGACGCTCTGGTATCAGAGAGACCGAGGCTCAGACTCCCGCTCATCCCTATGCGACCCCTAGCGGGCTGCCCGACCTCTCCTGAGCGTCAGTTTACTCAGTGAAATCGGAAAACACACCAGAGCGTCAGCGCCTGCCCCCGGGGCCGCTGTCGCAGGACGACGCAGGCAGAGCGGCAGAGCACGCAGCCGGGGCGGGGCCTGGGAACCACGCGCACACACACGCGCACACACAGCTGCCTCCGCGGGCCCGGCGCCCCCACTTACATAAGTCGTGCGGGTCAAAGGGCCGGGGCGGGTCTGGCTCCCAGTCATCCAGATCCGTGTCTTCACCATCTTCTTCCTCATCTTCCTCGGTGTCCTCATCCTCATCCTCATCCTCTTCTTCTTTTGCCTCCAGTCTACCTATGGGGGTCTGCAGAGTTGCCAAAGGGTCGGAACCATCCACACTCTCGATCGAAGGTAGCACCTGGTTGTGCACCGGTAATGAGGCCTGGACAAGAGGTTAAGGCACGCAGTGAGCAGACGTCTGCTTTGAGTCAGGCACACACCGCGCGGAGGTGTGGGCGGAATCCAGTCTTCACACCAGCTTCCCCCAAGGCCCCAGAGAAACGATTTCCCTCTAGGGGCTGTAGGGAGGAGTCTGACTTCATTTTCGCTCACTGGCTGCTCACAGCTGGTAAGCCTCGCCCTCCCTCTTCCTCGTCTGCCCACACCCGGGCAGGCGGATGGGGCAGGCTAATGGGCAAGCCCAGGTGCTCCCTCATTGGGTGCCGGTGGGAGACTGACACCTGGCGAGGCCCTGACCGTGCGTCCTCAGCCCACCCCTTACGCGCCATCCAACCAGTCTCCTGTGCTCGCCGCGGGCTCACGCCAACTCACACCCGCGGAGAGGCGCGCCCGGCCTCCCCAGAGACTTCGGTCTGCGAGCAACAGGCCTTGCACAGCCTCGTGGCCCATGCGCGGGGTGTCGCCAGTCTCCACACCCGAACTAAACTGCGGAGGGAGAGGTCCCTCCTGCCTTCAGGGTGGCCACGACACAGGGGCCACTTCACTGTTAAAACCGAACACGTGGTGCTACATGTGGTTGGCAAAAGTCAATGGCTAACAGCCCTCCGTTTAAACCCTTCAGGGAGGCCGAGGTCTGCGAGTGGGAGCGAAGAGATGAGCTGCCATTGCTCCATCACGCTGAAGTCAGGCTCTTGCAAATAAGACAGTTTGGGTCACATACTGGGTTAATTCGTATCTTACCAAATATACTGGCAGTAAATAAATGGTACCTTAAAAAGTTCTCCTGCTTCCAACCTAAGTGCTGTGGGTTATAGATTCCCTAGATTCCCTTGAGGGCATCTTATTCCTCCTGCCCAGTCGGCACCTTAGGTCATGTTCAAGCCATGGACCCTTTCTGGTCAATAAATAAAGCAAGTCAGTTTTGAAACGCCCACTCCCTTTTTCTTTACATCCCCACAGGTTGTTTTCCTCACCTAGAATGTTCTTCTTCCACCAACCTTTTAAATCCTACCATGTTCCAGTTTCTACAGGAACCACCCCTGACGCCTCCAGGACCCCCTGACGCCCCTCTGCCCTGAGCTCCTGCAGCACCCGGGGCCATAGAATCCCCCTCCTCGCCCTCGCTGGGCCTCCGCTTCCACATTTCATTGCTCTCAGGGCAGCCTGAGCCATTCTGGAACAGTTCTACCACAGTTTCTTTCTTCTTCTTTTTTTTTTAAGGTATAAGCGTTTATTTGTTCTGTGTCATTTACTTTGAAATATATATATATTTTTTTCTCCTGGCAAATTTCGACCATACTATGCAGGAATACTGAATGATCTACTGACCTTAAGTCACTATTTTTGGAAAGAAATGTTCGACAGTCTTGCCAAGGACTGAAAATTTTCTATCTTTGGGATTCAAGCTCTGGTTTTTTTGTGTCGTTTTTTTAATTTCAGAATATTACAGGGGTACAAACATTTTGGTTACATGAATTACTTTTGTACAGTTTGAGTCAAAGTTACAAGCATGTCCATCACCCAGATAGTGAGCACTGTACCCGTTAGGTGTGAATTTCTATGACAGTTTCTGTGGAGTCCAGATCTTCCACCTCTTGGTTGGGGCCTAGGACGTTCCTCTGGAGGCAGGTAGAATAAGTTTAACCCTTCTGCCACCTGAATCAAATATTTGAAGGCCAAAATACCCTTATTCATTCCATCATTTCTCACAAGGCCAAACTTCCAGCTCTCTGATCACCTTGTTGTCTTCATTTATTCTGCAGTATATTCCATTTTTATTAATATAGCATCTGACTGCATTAGCATTTCTGACAGCCACAGTTCTAGTGCAGGCCCACCTTGAACTTGCAGACAGCTGAAACCCTCAGTCCTTTCTTTCCCTCATACAGTGCTAGTAAACCATTTTTCCCCTTCTCAAAACTTAAGTAGCTGATTTTTACTTAAATAGGAGATTTTGCATTGATCTCCAGTAAATTTCATTTTATTACTGTTATCTGGTCTTCCAGTCTGCCAAGATCTTTTATAATCTCCATGCTGACATCCCACACATTAGCTAGCCCTCGTAACTTTGTATCCGTTGCCACACACCATATGGCTGGTGATAAGTAGGCATGTTCCCGGGGGTCCATCCTGCCTCTTTAGCTACACCCCAGAAGAGTAGACTGTGGGCTTTGGAGTCAGACAGATTTAGAGTAAAACCTGGCCCTGCTATTTAGCAAGTTACTAAACTTCTCTGAACCTCAGTTTCTTTATCTGTAAAATGAACACACCTCAGGATGTTGTGAGAGTTAAGTGAAATAATATGTATATAAGGGCAGTAGTAGAGTGTCTGGCTTTTAGTTAAGTGCTTAGTTTTGGATTTTTTTTTTTTTAAGGGATAGGGTCTTACACTGTTGCCCAGGCTGGAGTACAATGGTGTGATTATAGCTCACTGCAGCCTTCAACTCCTGGGCAAGCTCCACCTCTACCTCTTAAGCAGCTGGGACAACAGGCGCGTACCACCTACCCAGCTAATCTTTTTTTCATTTTTGTAGAGACACAGTCTCACTATGTTGTCCAAGCTGGTCTTAAACTCCTGGACTCATGTGATCTTCCCACCTTGACCTCCCAAAATGTTGGGATTATAGGCGTGAGCCGCCACACCCAGCCTTAAGTCCTTAGTTTAATGATAATTATTATCATAAGTTCTTTAAGGACCAAGATGACATCATATACTTCCTCTACAACTTTGGAAGACTGCTGAGCACGAAGTAGGTGTTCATTTGTTGAAATATATTTGGCCCTTTGGGAAATGACATCAATCCTTTCAGACATCTAGAGGAACTCTTTGCTGCTAGTCACAGAAACATCCTTTTTCTGTTGTACATCTAAATCAAAGAACTTCTTAAACTCTGTAAAGAAACAGTATTGAGTGTGTTTATTGAGATGGCACTCAACTCACTATGGCAGTTTAAGATCATTGCCTGCCCAGACACGATGGCTCACACCTGTAATCCTAGCACTCTGGGAGGCTGAGGCAGAAGAATCACTTGAGGTCAGGAGTTCGAGACCAGCCTGAGCAAGAGTGAGACCCCATCTCTACTAGAAAAAAAAATAGAAAAATTAGCCAGGCATTGTGGTGTGCACCTGTAGTCCCAGCTACTCTGGAGGCTGAGGCTAAAGGATCTCCTGAGCCCAGGAGTTTGAGGTTGCAGTGAGCTATGATGACACCACTGTACTCTACCTGGGGTGACAGAGTGAGACCCTGTCTCAAAAAAAAAAAAAAACTCACTGCCCAACATTTGAAACACTCAGGCTCCAGAAAGATAAAACCAGCTACCTCAAACCTCAAACGGCATCTGCATGTTTTAACATGCACTCATTTAACTAAGAACTAAGACTTCTGCATGACATTCCACCTCTGTAACTCAGAACCTTTTGGAAAGTTCTACATGGGAGGACAAAATTCTCGCAGTTGCATCTGCCTCAACTTCAATAAAAACAAAATAAAATGCCCTTTGAGAGTGAAGATTCTACAAGGACAAGAGCAGGGGACTCTGGCAATGCAACAGCTTTGGCCACCTCCCCCTGACCTCCTCACCAGATCCTGCAAAGAAGTGACTTCATTTCTACTCCCCAGGTCAAAGCACAGTTTACAATATTGCCTTTTATTCTAAGCCACTTTAATTTTATGCCAGTGTTAGCGATGAATGTTATCACACATTGAACAAAACAAGGCATACCTCTACTCCTCACAAAGTCCTAACCCTCTGCAGAGCCAACCTGAAAGAATGAATTCAGCAATTCAGAGTTATTCCAGTGGAACTGCGATGTATTTTTCCCACCAGATGCTATTCAACTCTAGTTCGGCAAGGTGACTGCTGGCTTCTTGCCACTGCTGAGGAAGCTGACATCAAAATAATACCAACAACCTTCACCTCCCCCACGCTGGAACTCTCTGAGCACTATAGCAAAGGACAGGCTTAAACACTTCTGCATTATCTTTAAGGACTGATGTTAAGGCACAGGTTGAATACATACCAGAATCTTGCTACCATTGAAAAGGAACACAAAGGGTTGCGGACAATAATTTCTAGGTAAGAATTGTTTATTTCTAGACAGCACAGACCTGACACACAGTAGACATGCATTACAAATTTGTTTAATGAATAATTAATGCAAATGCAACTGGCCTTTACTGAGTGCTAGGTATATATTAAATTCCTTTGAGGCCAGGTAACGTTATCACACAGCTCCTAAGTGGCAGAGGTAAAATTTAAATTCTAACTCTGCACTGCTTTTTCCACTACATCACAATGGCCCCTAAGGAATTCAGTCTGTTTGAGAAGGGCAACGGAGGAGGTAAACATCACCCACACCTTGAATACCTGAGCAACAAGGTACCACGCATGGTCCTGAGGTCACAGCCAGGCAGTAAGTGGGTAAGCAATGTGTGCGTATTTTACTTCGAGGAAGAGAATACAAAGCAAAACTATTTTAATCCTGTGCATTTTGTCATGTACAATAAAGCATAGTAAAAGCAAAATGAATGTTAAACTTATGGTATACTTTCTCCTTCCCACTTAGTACCACTCTCTGTAATTATTTCTGAAAGTACATAATGCATTTCAGGATACAATTTATCTGAGAAGTGAAATACGAAACTACACTGGGCAGCAGCAAACACAACAGAATGTTTCTGGATTCCTACTGAGGCCGATTGTCAGTGCAGCATGTTTTCTTCTCAGCATGTGGGGAGTCACACATGTTCATTTTCAAAAACAAAGAGGAGACTATGCCTCTCTGTCTGGAGACCACTGACGCCTTTCTTAAGGATGTGGAAATACATTCATGACAAAGGCTTCTAATGGATTTTGCCACCACTAAAAATAATTGAAAATAGAAACTTTTTTGCTTTAAAAAAAAAAAAAAAGAAAGAAAGACAAAGCAACCATCATCTGTGTTAAACCCTCACTCCAAATTCCTATCCAAAATTTATCCAGGTCACCGAATAAACTAACAGCCGCTGAGGTGTTACAGCCAGAAATAAAAACTGGTTGAAAGGAAACTGCAATGAAGAAAGATGCTAAGCCAATCATTCCCCTGCTTGAAATGCCAGGGCTCGTGGAGCTGAGTAGACCTTCCCCTCTGTGCAAACATGCAACAAGCAGATTGTTCCTAGAGATTGGAGAAGATGAAGGGCCCTTTGAGGTGCAAACGACAATGAAACCTTTAATTAAAATTACGTGTTAATATTAAAACAAAATTTTGCCTATCAGATTGGCAAAATATGAAAAGAAGGCAAATCCCCAATGTGGCAAGAAAATGTGTGGAAATGGGCTTTCTCATATATTAATAGTATATTGTTGATGGGCATATAAATTTTTTCAGTATCTGAAAAGCATTTAGAAAGGCAATTATCAAAATAATTTTCCCATTTATAAGGACAAATTTAAACATATATCAAATAGGGAGAACAGCGTAATAAACCTCATGTACCCATCACTCGGCTCAACGATTATTAACTCATAGCCAATCTTATTTGAACTAATCTCCCACTCACTTTCTCCCTCACTAGATTATTTTGAAGCAAAACTTAGACACTATACATTTTCATCTATAAATAGTTCAGTGTCTATCTCTAAAAGAAAGTGACTTTTATATTTCATATATTATCATACCTAAAAAGTTAACTATTTTATAATATAATCAAATATCCAAACATCCATTTAGTGTTATCATTTCCCCAATTGTCTCATAAATTTGGTTTGTTCCAATCAGGATCCAGGCACGGTCCACAGATTGCATCTGACTGATCTGTCCCTGAAGTCTCCTTTAATACATAAGCTCCCCTTCCTCTTCTTTTCCCTTGCAATTTATTTGTGAAAGAAACCAGGCCATTCGTCCTAGAGAGTTTCCCACAGGCTGGATTTTGCCAATTGCCTTCTTGTGTTCCATTTTGTCTGCCATGCTTTTTATAAGCTGGTAGTTGAATCTAGAGACTCGATCAGATTCTGGCTCAACTTTTTGGGAAGAATACTTTCACATGCGGCATAATGCTACAGGAAGTACACAATGCCAGGAGGCACGTAATGAAAGGCTTTCTCTGTTTCAGTGACATTAAGAAGGGTCAGAGGGTTAGGTTGCTCCCACTCTGATCTATCTATTACAAAGTTCCCCAACAGCTTTGTCCTGACGGTTTCAGGCTGCTGCTGCTGCTCACTGCCTAGATCCATATTTCCCCGAGGGATGCAAAATGGTGATATTCTAAATCGATCATTCCTTCTTTATTTATCACTTGGAATGCTTTGATAAAGAAATTTCCCTCATCAAGTTATTGGTTACCTGAGTAGCTTCAAGGAGAAAGGCAGGATTTTGTCCCTTCATTTTCCAGTTTTCAGAATAATGTGGTAGATCCTAGCATGCTCAAAAAGTGAGCAATGAGTTATTTCTTCTAATATCATATAAACTTGTAGACTTTAAATATATTTAAGTACTTCAATCTATTCTAGGTATTATCCTTTTTTACAGGTCAAATTGTTCCATTTTGGCCCCTTCAGGTTCCGTCCTGAGATCTTCCCACGGGATGACACAACAGAAGTTTTTAAGAGCTCCCTTGCCCTGAGAAGACAAGACACCCCAAGTTCGTCTTGTACATTCCCTGCCAGAGTTAGGGTCAGCCATTTCTCCAAGGAGCCCTGATTCCTTTCACCGTATTTAAAGACCACGTCGAGCATCAGGGGCTGCTCGCTGGTACTGGACTGATCAATGTAACTAAACCTCTTCAGTGGCCAGAACTAGAAAACACGTTTGTTAAGAGAGAATATAT